AAAATACACATAGCTGAAGATACACCATTTCAAAAATTTCTACATGCACAGTTCAGTGACATTGACTACGCTCTTCCAGTTGTGCTGCTATTCTCACTTAAAATGCAGGCTTACAGAACAAAATAGTTTCTCATTTAACAGTTACTGCACATGTTGCCCTATGACAATGGTTAACAATCTCACAACACAGCAATAATATCCTTACTCAACCTTGGGTTCCCTATCACCAGCTTCCACAGGGAAGTTTTAATTAACTGCTTACAGAATTCAGAAAGGTTTCACAAAGAGGACAGTGAAATTAAGTCTTAAAAATGAGTAGAAGTTCACAGGTAGACATGAGGGAAATGGTGTTTCAGAAGAAGGAATAGAATCTGCAAAAGTATGGTGGTATTAAAGAGCATGGTATTTTCTGATGAAGGTGAAGAGTTTGCTGTTACTATAACAGTGGTTTTCAGAGTAAGGTATACATGCCTTCAGGGGTAGAAGACAACTTTCCAAGGGATATTGAGCATAAAAAGTTTTAAGGAAACTGAGTTCCACATCTTCTACTGTCTTAAACTTGGTCTGCTTGAGAATGTGCTTAAGATGTCAGACTTGTTGTTCCTTTTCATAATTACTCTTCTACTTTGCAAATGAAGGGCATTCTTTTATTCATCCTTAGTCTTACTATGGTGGATTTGTCCAGGAAGTTTAAACAAAATAACACAAAACAAAAAAACCTGGGGAACAAGACAAAGAGGCAGTTTGAAATGTTGTTGTCCATGTTGGAAGTGAATGACTTTAATGACAAAGTAACATGTCAGGTTATTTCTAGTTCTTTGCTTTTAAGATATTTGAAGGTGGATATGATAATTGTCAGCTTATTAAAAAATAATTTTTTGTAGTAGATCACTTTGTGAATCCTGGCATGTAACTTGAAGGAATTTAAAGAATCAAGTCACATTGCTAAAACAACTCCTTTCTTTCCAACCTGCCTATTTATGTGAAAACATTTTCCCAGTATAGCCGTAAAAACAAATACATAGATAGAGAATTGATACTGAACCCTGTATCATTCTATCAATAAGTAATACTCATCCAGTAAGACCTTTTCAAAATTATTTAGGGGAACTTTAGAAAAAAGCTCTGGTGAACAGACTACAGGACTATAGCATTAGAATAGGGCATTCTTAGGCAAGAGGCATGAGTTGAAGCAGCAGTATGCTGTAACTAGATAGGAAGATTAGGTATGTTGAATAATTTGAACTTTTTCCTATAGGCATCTGGGAACCAATGAAAATTTTGAAGTAGGGTAGGACACATCATATATGGTATAGTGGCATTGAGGTGGATGTACCAAAGGAGAGAAAGACTATCATTTTAGAGCAGGTGTGGACTTAATGGTTTGAAAGAAGAAATAACAAGCCAAAATGGGGAGAAGCAACTGAATCTTTTATCAGTTGGAGTTAAGGAAGAGGGAAAATTTGAGAACTTCAAGAATGATAATTGGTGGCTCTACTAGCCAAGAAAGGAAATGCAGAAGGAAGCAAGTTTGATTAAGGGAGGTAAGGCTTTAAGAAAAGGTAATAATGAGTTCCATTTTGGAGTTGAAAAAATATGATTAAAGAAGTACAGGAGAGTGTCTTTTTTACACTATTACTGTCGTAGACATAGTAGACATAGACTAGTCTGTTAAGGCTTGCAGTGAAGATTTATATAGCTTAAGATGTCATTAACAGATGGTGGTTGAAACTGAAGACTAATGGACAAAGGGTTGATGATACTGCAACTTATTTATTTGCATAATAAGTGGATATGTTTATATATAAAATGGAATACAGATTAGGAAACTAGAAACAAGGAAAATTTTCATAATCCTACCACCACAACAAAGCCAGTGTTAGCATTTTGAGGTATTTCCTTAGGTTTTTTTGCCTAGACATCTACATTTTTCATAGTTGTAGTAAGAAGTATATGCAGTTTTCTTCCATATTGTTGGTTATTTAATTATTACTTTTTGTCACTTTGTAACATTTCATAGTGAATTTACTTAACCATTCTCTTATGCCCTAGAGTTGCTTTCTTGGATGGTTAGTTGCCATGTTATTACTTTAGTTTCACACAGAAAGTCTTGGTTCTTGCGGTACCATTGGCAACCATTTTCTATCGTAAATATTTTCTTGACTTCGTTCTTTTTTTCTTTAGAAGAAGTGAAGACAGTTAAAACTTGAGAGATGTTAAGATTGTTCAGGAGGTGAAGTGTATAGTGGCCTGTTTTGTTTTGTTTTGGTTTTTTCAAAAACAGCATCCTGAAACCAGAAACCTTAATACCACAGTATTAAGAAAAAGTTCTTAGGGAGATTGTTTCTGTTTTTCATTGTATCAGTATTTGTCTTGATGAAAAAGAGAGAAACATGATTAAAGAACTATAGGAAAGTGTTTTAAAATGTTATCATCATAGACATAAATACTAGTCTGTTAAGGGTTTGAAAGTAGGTGCCGAAAACATGAGAAAAAGTGATTTTTCTGATGGAAATCAGTTTATTTTACAGTTAATTAGAAGTTTGGCTTCAGTCCCTAGAATTTAAAGTTTCACAGCTATATGTCATCTTTCGTTTTCTTTAATTACTTAGGCACTAATAATTTTTGTTGGGAGATTCTCATTTACTAAGTATACTTGGAAATTCTTTTCTAGTATAATTATAGTTCTTAATAGATGTATGTATAAATATATATATGTATAATATGTGTACTTTGGTTTTCTGTAAATAGCTAACTCTATTAATGTGTTGTTCTAAATTAAAAAATAGTTAACTTTTTTTAAATGGAAAAATTTGGTTGTCATTTTGATAACTATTACCAAAGCCTCATGTATAATTCTGTGGTTCGTATGTCAGAACATCTCACCGTATACTTATGTTTCGAGAATCATTTTAGGTTATTAAAAGTTCATGTATGTCTTTACACTTCAACAGTATTCCATGCATTTTCTCTTTAGGGAGAAGAATATTTGAACTCAAACTCATTATAAATCCCTTATGCATTCTGGCTTCTTCAGATAACCAAGTTCAAAGGACACAGCACACAACTTAAGAGAGGCACCAGAGCACTTTACAGTACTGAATAATATCACAAGGGCTTCTTCCACAAGGAAGTGATTTATTTCTAATGGCTGTATCGCAGTGTGTACAGCCCATGTATGCAGGGCGCACATTTGTTTCCTTTTTTAATATACAAAACTAATAATATTCAAATAAGCTGCCTTTACTAATAAAATATAATTTCTAAAACAAGAAGAGCTATGAATATGTAAATATAACTGTTCAAATATTTACAGAAACATTGGGTTCTTATTCAAATTGTGTGTAGTTTTCCAGTTTTTAACTTTTAATTTTATTCCTATATAATTAGGAAACCATTTTAGGGGAGCTGAGTTATTGATACAAAAGAAAATGTATTATGCTTCTTTTTATGACTTTTTATTGCAAACATTTAGGTTTTCTTATATGTGAAATTTCAAGTGCTTAACTTTCAGTAATAGGGCAGTTTTTAATCTTTTTAGAGTTCTACTGTAGCACCATCTACCCAGCAAGTGAAGACACCACAGACTTCAAATGCGCCTGATCTAAATGATGCAATTGTGAAACTATTCAGTGACTTTGATGTTAAAGAAACCTCCCATCATTTAGTGATTTCTCATCTAGATCTGCACATATGTGATGACATTCATGCTAAAGAAAAAGGTAATAAACCTGCATATTTCAAGCTATTTTGGTTTATCTAGATTTGACTATAAATTTGGATTGTTTATCATATGTTACATGTACTACAAAATAATTCGTCATAATTTTATCACTCATATATGATACATAGATCAGACATAAAAACCCATTGCCGTTGAGTCGATTCTGACTCATAGTGACCCTATAGGGCAGAGTAGAACTGCTCCATCGGATTTTCAAGGCTGTAATCTTTCCAGAAGCAGACTACTACATCTTTCTCCTGAGAAGTGGCTGGTGGGTTCCAACCACCGACCTTTTGGTTAGAGCTGAGTGCTTAACCACTGCACCACCAGGGCTCACTGATACATAGGTAAAAGGTATAATTTGAAGCATTATATGTTGGTATGAAATTTTTCATTTTGGTTTAGTAGTTAGAACTTCATTTCAGTAATCGTTAGCTATCAATGCTAACAGATTTTACTGTTATATTAAAAAAAATAAAAAACTAGGGAGATAACACCCTTAGAAGATGCTGAAATATTAGTCTTGCCTTCGAATTAGCTTTCTCAAAATCTTGAAATTGTCAGAAATTAAATTTTAGCCTATAGTCAAACCATAACTGTTTGCACATGTGTTATCAGCATTGTGTTTATCTATGTATTTCTGACCAAATTCCTGACCACCATTTTGGTCTTAAAATTTCTTCATTCCACAACCTGGAATTATATGACTTCATCCATATTCATTTTTTTCTATTGTTCCCCTAATCTAATAAACTCCCTCACTTTGCTCAGCTTCTTAGATCCTGTTCCAGTCAAAATCCAGAAAAAAAAACTTTCCTGTCCTACTGAACAGTCCAAATTATTTGTCTGCTTTAAAAAAAAAAAAAAAAAATCAGTATAAAAACTATATCTTGACCAATTGGCTCATTTGGTTAAAATAGTTTATTAATAAATCACGATTGTATATTTGAGACTACTGACTGGGCTTAAAGATGTGTATTTGAGCTCTTTATTATTTATTATTTATTTATTAGAAGGATTAAATTAAAAAAATATGGATAATTCCGTACAAAAACCCTTCAGTACTGTGTGTATATATGTTGCAGGTGAGTGGAGGTGTGGATTGATAGAGGTAGATGGGTGTATGCATGTGCTATTAATAGTGGATCTATAGCATTATTTTGACATGTAAAACTCCATGTATTAGTATGAAGTGAGACCACAGAGGTAGACATAGAACCCAGGTCTCTTGACTTTTAGGACAGTGTTTTTCGCATTGCATCATACTGCTTTTCAGGTAGTTAGGAACCATCATAGAAGGGTTTGGAGTCTCATAGGTTAAGGATGAGGGACTGTTTAAAGTACAATATAAATTAATTTTTTTTATGAATTACTAAGTACAAATTTTTATATATTTATCAAAGTTATACTTTTGTACAGTTATAAATTAATACAGTTTAAACACATAGTTTAAAGATGCAAATAGTTCCCAAGGCTTATTACCAAAAAAAGCAGTCTCCTGACTACTCTGATTCCTCTTAATACTTACTCTACCCTTGTCAGTTTACTGTTCTGCCAGAAGCATCTGCTTTGAATTTGTTTTTTTAAAGCTATTTCTTCGGGTATTTACTTTCATGTCTCAAAATAATATGCTTATACTTCCAGTTCTTGATTTTTCAGCTTTAGACATTGTCTGTTGACTTCTCACAATAGAAAATGAGCACGTTGTTATTCCTATTATCCCCATTACCTACATGTGCTTGCAGTCACAGCTATGTGGCTATTTGACATTTCTCATCCTACCCCTACACTCTCCCCATCATCCTAAAATTTTGTTAGGAACCTAAATTCCTGTCATAAAGCTATTCTATTAATTACATCTTCTAGAGATATCTCTACTAGAGCCTCTGGCCTGTTCCATTGTGGTCTAGTTGTTTTCTAGGCCTACAGCACAGGTGTCACCCTGGGGTTGCCCTTTCCAAAGTCCTAGAGATTTCGCTTTGAGGATTGGGTATCCTATCTCCTATATCCCATGCCTTGTTGGATTTCGCCCTTGTTTTGGAGTAGCACCTCCTGTGTTTATCTTCTTGAGAAAGAGTGCTGACAGGTAAATTTTGAGACCTTGCGTGTATCCTTACATTAGTAGTCTAGCTGATGATATTTTCCTGAAGAATTTTTAACTGTTTTTTTTTTTCTTTTATTCTAGCTTCTTTAAGTGTTGAATGAGAAGATTGTATGTCTTGGTCATAGTCTAGAATGAATCTTGCTTGACTTCAGGAGTGGCTTCAGTTCTGAGTTAGCAGGGTGTCCGATGGCCATAGTCTTGGGGGTTCTTTCAGTGTCTATTAGACCAGTAATCTGGTCTTTTTTGTGAATTTGAATTCTGTTCTACATTTTTCTCCCACTCTGTCCAGGATGCCCAGAGCCATCACAGCCATCATTGGTGGTAGTTGGGTACCATCTAGTTATTTTGGGCTTAGGCTGGTAGAGGCTGTGGTTCATGTGATCCATTAGTCCTTGGGACTAAAATTTTCCTTGTGTCTTTGGTATTTTTCATTTTCCTTTGCTCCAGACAGAATGGGACCAATAGATGTATCTTAGATGGCTGCTCGCAAGCTTTTAAGATGCTGGACACTGCTCATCAAAACAGGATGTAGAACATTTTCTTTATGAACTGTTATGCCAGTTAACCTAGATGTCCCCCAAGACCATGGTCTCCAGCCCTCAGCCCCAGTAACTCAGTCTCTCAAGGTGATTAGATGTGTCTAGGAAGCTTCTAGTCAAGTTGTGCTGACTTCCCTTATATTGTGTGTTGTCTTTCCCTTCACCAAAGTTAACACCTGTCTACTATCTAGTTAGTGATTTCCCATCTTCACCCCTTCTCTCCCTTGTAACCATCAAGGATTGTTTTTTTCTATGTGTAAACCTTTTCTTGAATTTTTAAAATAGTGGTCTCATACAGTATCTGTCCTTTTGTTGTTGGTTTGTTTCGCTCAGTATAAGCAGCTAACCTGGTTTTGATTCCCAGCTAGTGCACCTCAGGCACAGCCAGCACTCATCTGTCAGTGGAGGCTTGCATGTTGCTATGATGCAGAACAGGTTTTCAGCAGAGCTGCCAGACTAAGACTAGAAAGAAAAGCCTAACAATCTAATTCAGAAAATCAGCCAGCGACAACCCTATGGATCACAACAGTCCGATCCTGTTGTGCATGGGGTTACCAATGAATTGGGGGCTGACTCGATGGCAGGGAACAATTTATCAGTGTTTTCGTCATTGTTAATTTATTTCCTTGTCTACTCTAAACCATGAATATATTCACTTAGGTTATCTTTCAGAGGCTTTATTGTTTTATCTTTCACAATTAGCTATATAGCTATGTTGTGGATCCCTGGTGGTGCATTGGTTAAGAGATTGGTGAAAAAGTCGGCCGTTCAGATCCACCAGCCGCTTCTTGGAAACCCTATAGGGCAATTCTACTCTGTACTATAGGGTCGCTATGAGTTGGAATTAGCTTGATGGCAATGGGTAGTAGTAGGGCTGTGCTGTGAGGTAGAAGGCAAAATATCTTTTCATATGGATTTTCTATTTATGTTATCTGTGAATAATGACCACTTTATTTCTGTTACAATCTTTATGTCTTTTATTTCATTTTCTTGTCTTATTATATTGTCTAGAACTTTCGATACAGTGCTAAATTGACCTGTAATTTTCTTCCTTATCCTAGTCAGGTTTTGATTTGAAGGTTATACTAAGTAAATTACTCGTCATCCTTCTGCACTTTACCTCTCAAATTTTTATTTTTGTCCTGTGGATTAATTCTCTTTAAAACTCGTTTTACTGTTATTTTTTTAGTAGAGTACTGAGTGGGTGTGAAAGTCATTTTCTGTGTTACCCTTCCTAAAAATAGTGTGGCAGTGGTGTTTGACCTCCTCTAACTTCACAAGGGGAAGAGAGAATCCTTATCCGCATCAACAGTCCAAGGCTGATTACTGTGAGGCAGAGGTCAGACATACCTTATCTCTCCAACCTTTTTTACCAATTCTGACACCAGCCATCCCTCCCATGACACTCTCTCCTCTGCTCGGTTTGATAATTCATTGCAGTGGCCACACAGAACTCACAGACCATACTGATGGTTATGGGGTTTATTAGGGAAGTAACAGGATACAGTTCAGGTTCATAATGCTCAGAATATAGTTCTTCAATCAGGACAGCCTCTTCTCAGCTGTGCCTGCAGGTAGGTCTCTCTCTGGCCATTGGCCCCTCGGCCAGGCCTCTGCCCTGCTGAGGCAAGTGTTACAAAGCTCTTTTAGCTCTACCAGTAAGTACCCAGAGGCACCCCACTCTGCCAGTAAGCCTCAGCCTGAAGGTGCTCAGCTCTAGCTCCATGGGTCAGCAAACCTAGCTCCACCAAGTGCCCAGAGGCACCCTACTCTGCCAGCAAGCTTCCTGCCTGAAGACACTCAGCTTTCTTGCTTTGTGGGCCGAGAAGCCCACCACATCGTCTCCTGCCAGTTTCCTACCAATCTGCTGGTCTCCAGCCTCTGCTGCTGTTGTTTCTCTGCCGCTGCTTCTTGCCATCCTTGATGTTACAGCTCTCTCTCTCTGTGTCTTGGTTCCAGGAGCTTCTCAGTGCAGCGATCCTGAGTCCAAAGGATGCGCTCCACTCCTGGCTCTTCTATCTTGGTGGTGGTGAGATCCCCCCTTTCTGCTACTGGGTTGGATCAGTTTAAGCCTAGTGAGATGACAAAACTGACCAATCCCTCGTTAGGGTTCCGTATACCTTATTTGCATGGTCCCACCCCCACAAGGGAAACCCTGATGGTGTAGTGATTAAGCACTACGGCTGCTAACCAAAAGGTTGGCAGTTCGAATCTACCAGACACCCCTTGGAAACTCTATGGGGCAGTTCTACTCTGTCCTGTAGGGTTGCTATGAGTCAGAATGGACTCAATGGCAGTGGCTTTGTTTTTTTTTTTAAATCCCCAGAAGAGTGCCATGCACCTTGTTTACATTATTAGCAAGCTATCCAATCCCCTTGGTGGGCCATAAGCATGTCATTTGCATAGTCCCACCCAGTCGTTTGGTGAGAGTTACAAAAGAGTATGGCTAGAAGGGCCATATTAAGTAATTCACTGCACCGCACCCTCTTTTCCAGAAGTCTTGCTATTTTTTAAAGATTTTATGCTTTTTGTTTTTTTCTTAGTTAGTAGGATTAGGTAACTGGATAAGTAAAAAGCTGCTCTTGGTCACTTTGAAAATCTGTGGTTCATTAATGTAGATGCTTGGCATTTCTGCCTCTGTTGGCAAGTATACCTGGCCCACAGATGTTGGGAAGGTTCAACAGATAGACGTGCCTCTCCACCAAAATATCTGCCTAATAGTAATCACTTATCTACTATTCTGAAATCCAGACTTTGGTGAGCATGAGAATCAAACTGAGGATCTTTTTAAGGCAGCGTTACCTAACCTGTGCACCTCATGCCTGAATCAGAATCTATATCCATGAAATTGTTACTCTGGAATTTTAAAACTGAGAGAGTGAATACTGAGACCCTGGGTATTTAGCGGTAGAACTTACCCTCCCTTCATTAGACAAGGCAGCCCAGATACCCGCTGCTAGATAGAAGTGGGGAGGGGAGAAAGTGAGGAAGATTTGAGTTTGGAGAGGGATTTCTTGTCTTTTCCTTTGTTCATCATTGTTGTTTGGCTTATAGTTGGCATCTTTTACTTTAGTGCTTTGAGAGGAATATCCAAAAAGGTTAAAACGAACTAAAATAACAAAATGAGATGAGGTTAACTAATAAGCATCAGAACAGAGAAAGTATTGTCTAAGCTTTTTTACATTCCTCACTCCGAATTATCCCCCTGTAGAATAAGCTGAATGATGCTCTTTAAGGGGAGAACCTCTCCACCAAAATATCTCCCTCACAGTAATCACTATCTGCTATTCTAAAATCCAGAAAGCTCACACAAGTTTTTTTCAGAAGTTTGTGAAAAACTTGTTTGGTGGCGAAACCTGACCTGACTCAACATGTTTATTATTTTTATTTTATCTATTTAGTGTAAATGTTTATATATTTTGCTGCAAAAATACTATTTTTTATTACTTAATGCTGCCTTAGAACCTGCTGGGAGTGTTGCATGATAGATATACTGTATATGTACCATATTAACTTAATAAAATTTTTAAAATTCTGAAACATATTTGTTTTCAAAGGTTTTAGATAAGGGATTGTGGACCTGTACTATAAATTCTACTAATTGAGGTTAATTGGAATTAATACAGGAAGGGTATACATAGCTATAGAAAAGAACATCATATTTGGTAAAGGAGAGGGTCAGCAAAAACAAGGGAAATCCTCAGTGAGATGGATTGATACAATAGAAACATACCAACAATCATGAAGATGGCACAGGACCAGGCAATGTTTTGTTCTATTGTACATAAGGTCGCCATGAGTAGGAGCCGATTCAATGACAACAACAATAATCTTAATTTGTGTTTTCCTTACGTTTAGTTGACTTGTCCGTGTTGCTTTAAAATTTAACTTTTAAGTTGAAGTTATACTGACTTGTGATCTACTTTTGATTTTACTATACCTCTGTGACTTTGAGGAGTCCCTGGGTGGCTGTTAAGTGCTGGACTACTAACCGAAGGTTTTTGGTTCGAATCCACCTAGAGGTGCCTTGGGAGACAGGCCTGGCGATCTGCTTCCAAAAGATAGCCGGGCTTTCCTTTCTAGTCTGTCTTAGTCTGGAAGCTGTGTTGAAACCTGCCCACCATGGGTGACCCTGCTGGTATCTGAAATGCCCGTAGCATAGCTTCCAGCATCACAGCAACACGTAAGCCACCACAGTATAACAAACTGACAGAGAAGTGATGGTCACACATTATAGGAACTCTAAATATTTTTTGGATTGAATTGCATTTCCTAAAATTCTTGATGTACTATCCATGATGAAAGAATGATATTTATTACTACTTCGACTCCAAGTATAGTAAAAATGTTCTATGATAAATTGAGGCTTCTGAGATCAGTTTTCTTTCTCTTTCTCTCAATTCCGTCTTTTCTTTTCCCAGAGTCAAACAGACGTATTACTGGAGGGGCTATGCAACTCTCTTTTACTCAGCTAACTGTAGATTATTACCCTTATCACAAAGCAGGTATGTATATGTAACAATTATCTTTAAAGAAATCTCTCTTTTAAATTATGTAGTCATAATCAGTGTTTACCTGAGGATGGGCGAGTGGAAAGGGTCAGGAGGAAGGGATGACAAAGGGACATGAGGAGACTTTTAGGGGTGATGGGTATGTTTACTATCTTGATTGTGGTGATGCTTTTAGGACGTATGTCAAAACATCAAATTGTATACTTTAAATATATACCGTTTACTGTATGTCAGTCATACTGCAATAAAACTGTAAAAGAAAAAAAATTATATAGCCATTTTACTTTATTTTATTTGTTAAGGAGAAAAGAGATTAACAAATCTTTATTACTTTTTCCCCTGGCAGTACTTCTCCCGAGAAAATACAGTTGCCATAGAAAATATTCATACACTTATATTGAGGTTTATGTAGATTATTAGGAACATTTTACCACTATTAGAAATTGACCGTTTTCCAAATAACTGATCTAAAACTTAAAAAAAAATCACCAGAATACAGAGGACATATATTTGTGATATTTAGTTAATTATGATAAAAATCAGTTACTAATCAATATGTATTTTTAAATGAAGTTTTAAATGATATGTTTATTCAAAAATCAGAAAAGAATATAAAATATAGCAAAATGTTAACAGTGGATTTAGCTAGACTGTAAGATTCTAGGCATTTCTTTTTTTTTTTAAAAACTCATCTATATTTTCTAATAATCTTCAGTAAATAAGAGTTAATAGGTGTTTTAACAACCAGATGTTGATAGATTCTTTTCTGCCAAGTAATAAAGACAAGAAGTATGTATGTTCATGGCCAAAATTGACCTTATATCCATCTCTGCATTTTCCTGATTCATAGGTTTTTGTTTTGTTTTTTTAACTCATACAGATAAGAAAAAATAAATAAGTATAATTTAAAATTTTCAGGACTTTTAATAACTGATAACATTTTTCTGTTCACACATTTCTACCTCCTAGTGTTGTCATTTCTCTATCACTACCTGACAGAATTTGTAGGTTATACTGTTTGTTGTTTTGGTTCTCTTTTGAAGAGCTTCATCTTCTATCTTATCCTCCTGATCCATAAGTTAATTATATATACTTTAAAATTTTTTAGTTGTAGAAATCATTCATATTTTAGAAGGTAAAACTTTCAGTCATGAAGTAGATTCTATTTAACTCTTTCATGTACGTATTTATTTTCTTAGTTGTTAGAAGCCTAATAATCCTGCTTTTATATTTTCCCTCCAAAAACCTTTTCTGTATGTTTATTACATGATGACTGATGTTCATCGTAAGTTTTATTGGTTTCTTAAGTGTTTGGATAATCCTTATTTTATCATTTTTATATATTAGACTTTTGTAAGTTATAGTACAACAGATTTTTGATAACAGGATTTTTCTATGGTGGTATTTTCTAGGGTTCTGTCCAATGGAGATTTACTAGGTAGTTGAGCATTCAGTGAAGGTTGGCCATCAGCTCTGCTTTGAATTGAGACTTTGAGTGATATTTCACCAAGAATGCGTTCTAGATAGAAACCTTCTCAGATCATTTGCTTTTTATACTCTTTGCCTCATTTGTAAATGTTTTAATCATATTTTCTAGGGAGATTAAAATTGGTAGTTGTCATAGATTGAATTGTGTCCCCCAAAACTATATGTCAACTTGGCTAGGTCATGATTCCCAGTAGTGTATGATAGTTTACCATTTTGTTATCTGATGTGATTCCCTATGTGTTGTATATTCTATCACTATGATGTAATAAGATGAATTAGCGGCAGTTATATTGAGGTCAATAAGATTAGATAGTGTCTTAAGCCAATCTCTTTTGAGATATAAAAGAGAGAAGCAAGCAGAAAGACATGGGGGCATCATACCACCAAGAAAGCAGTGCTGGGAGCAGAGTGCATCCTTTGGACCTGAGGTTCTTGTGCTGAGAAGCTCCCAGACCAAGGGAAGACTGATGACAAGGACCTTTCTCCAGAGCCGACAGAGAGAGAAGGCCTTCCCCTGGAGCCGGCACCCTGAATTTGGAGTTGTAGCCTACTAGACTATGAGAGAATAAATTTCTCTCTGTTAAAGCCATCCACTTGTGGTATTTCTGTTATAGCAGCTCTAGATGACTAAGACAGTCGTATATGAAGGCTTTAAATCATTGGAAGTTTAATGAATTCCTTGAGAATGTGAATAAATCTCTTTGGAAGTATTGTTATAATAAAATAAGTAAAAATTGCATTTTTCAGTAATATATCTGTTCATGTTACAGGTGATAGTTGTAACCATTGGATGTATTTTAGTGATGCAAGCAAAACAAAAAATGGATGGGCCAACGAGTTGTTACATGAATTTGAATGCAACGTTGAAATGCTTAAACAGGCTGTGAAGGATCATAATGTAGGTTCACCTCCTAAATCCCCAACACATGCCTCTCCCCAGCACACACAAACAGGTACTTTACCTATAACAACATTACGGCATTCCCCTGGTATTTATTTGTGTGTGTGTGTGTGTGTGTGTGTGTGTGTGTGTGTGTGTGTGTGTGTGTGTGTGTGTGTGTGTGTGTCTCTCATAATATGATATTTTCTGTAAATAAGTAATATAATTAATGTCTAAAGTACTTACACCTTTCATTCAGACAAACATAGGCTTATGGACCAATGCACTTTTAAAATTAATAAAACCAGTAATTATACCCAGGTAGAATTTTTCAGATTCTTAAATGGCAGTAAATCTCTCACTTTTAACAGGAATTCCAGCCAAACTGTCTTGTAGGAGAGTGTCTTAAATGTGATATAAGTATGATTGCTGTTTAAAGAATAATCATCACAATGACTTACCTTCCTGTAGCACTTTATAACTTATAAAGTATTTTCTCATATATTATCTTGTTTGAGAAGTTAGGGTTCGTTTATATTTCTAGTAGCTGTCTTAGTAGTAAAAGAATGACTATTAAAAATAATTTTACAATAAATTGAAAGGAGTTTTTATTTCCCACAGAGAAAGAATCAACTCTTAAAGGAGCTTCCAGAACACCTTCAGTATTATCTCAACAATCAAAAGCTAAGCTGATGTCTAGTTCTGTTGTGGTTAGACTTGCAGATTTCAATATATACCAGGTATTTTTTTTTTTTTAATTAAATCTTCTCATAAGCACTTTAGTATCTCCTACAAGCAACTCTTATGAGCTAATGCTGCCATATTATTTAAAAACATCTTGACCAGTTCTGTAAAATGGTCAACTTAGATGGGATAGAAAATTTCAGTTCATTAACTTTTGCTTCTGTGGTCTGTCCTATATTTTAAGAGGAGAAACTAAAATGCATTTTTTGTTTATTGAACTACACAATATTGGTCATACCAAATTGTATTCTATGAACATAATTTTATAGCCAAGAACTCTGTCCCGTTTATGGTCATAGTCTTATTCAGGCTGTTGGAGCCCTAGTGGCGCAGTGGTTAAGAGCTACAGCTGCTTACCAAAATCGGCAGTTTGAATCCACCAGCTGCTCCTTGGAAACCCTGTGGGACAGTTCTACTCTGTCCTGTATGGTCGCTTTGAGTTGGAATTGACTTGACAGCAACGAGTATGGTTTTTTTTTGTTGTTGTTATTCAGGCTGTAATCATACAACATGGTCTAATATCAAAGTCTTTGAGACCAATACAGTAGAATATATAATTTTAATTTTAAAAAATGAAATAAAGTACTGCAGATTTGTGTTTTCGTTTATGAATTGTTATGCTTTATATTCTTGCCTTCCATATGGAAGACCAGGGTTCAGTTTCTGGCCAGTGCATCTTATGCTCAGCCACCACTTCTCTATCAGCGGAGGCTTGCGTGTTGCTATAATGCTGAACAGGTTTCAGTGGAACTTTCCGACTGAGATGGACTGGGATACAATGCACAGGCCAGCTCTTCCAACAAAGAATTAAATGGCCCCAAATGTCAATAGTGCCAATTTTGAGGATCTCTGATCTCACAGTTATTTTCTTACTGTACAATTGCTTCTTTCTCTACATCCTGTATATAATGTTACTTAAAGAAGACTTTAAATCTTTTTCCTGTGTTTGAAATGTATTTATTTTACACCTCTGTGTTGGAATATATTGTTATAACGTAGAATATTTAACAGATTGTATTGCACATATTTATAACTTTAGGCACGTTTAAGATGGTTTTGAAGGACTGAGTTACACATGAAATCATTTTTCCTTTAGTAGTAACCTTTTAGGTATGAAAGAAATAAATATCTTTAAAATAATGTTATTTTACATCGAAAAGAGAAAGAGAAAAAGTGTTATGACTACATTAACAGATGGTAAAAAAGCATTTAATAAAGTATAAAATCCATTCCTTATAAATTCTTCAGTAACATGATAATGGGTATTTATTTGAAACCAGGATCCTTTCACTATATTCTGTGAAGAATTAGAAGAATTGCCCTTAAAAAGAGAAGCAAAGTAAAAGTACTCTCTGTTATCACTTCTCTTCTGCATCATGTTAGAGATAATGACTCTGGCAAAGAGTTGAAAAAGAAACGAGTAATAAGTATTGAGGAAAAAAGGAAGTAAAAGAAACATTTTGCAAAAGCCATGGTCATATGTCTAGGAATCATCTATAAAAATCAATGGAATCCTGGCATATTGTTGTTTTAGGCCAATAAATAACACATTCTTCCCTTGCTTAAGTTCATAATCAAGTGAGAGGTAGATGCAGGAGTCTGGCTGACAGATAAAAATATCTTTATTAAAGCTAAAGAGAACATAATTTGAAGATTGTAGCCAAATAATTTTACTAATAGTTTACTCTCCCGTCATTGTCCCTGGCAATACTGCAGGCTTCCCTAACGAGGACATTCCCTTTGTTAACATCTAGATGGCATGGAGAAGCTGAGCTGAGTACCTGCCTGTACTTAAGCAGACAGGCCGATCCCAAAGAGAAAGGTAGAGGAGAAGGGTAGGGTAGAGAGGAAGAGGAACAAGCAGAGCATGCTTAGACAAGTCACTCCTCCCCTGGAGTTCTTAGGGAGGAGTGAGTGAGGGCAAGAAGAGAGGTCAGGAATATTACTCAAAATGCTTTCCCTCCAATGGAAATATGAAGCTAAGGAAACAGTGACAAAATAGAAGCATTCAAAATAGGAATAAACAACTGTTAAATACTTGCAGATTCTCTTGTCATGGGATATATACCCCGAAGAAAGAAAATTATAGGATTTACATAAATTCATATGAAAGTGAGGGATGGGAATCATCCATAATCCCAAGTGAGAGTGAAAAATACATTAAAGAAACCCCACATACACAAACATATCACAAACAAAACAAACAAAGATAACTAGAAAATAAAATAGTATGCTCATCCAAATTTGAATAACCTTTTAACTATATAATGTAAAGGAGATAAGCTGTTGTCCATTAAAATAACTTGACACTGAATTGAAATGGATGTGTTTCAGTTATGCAGAGAAAAGCTTCTTAATTAGATAATGTAAAGGACTGACTTAAATTTATAGACTGTAAAATAATTTAAAAGTTTAGTTAGGCAATTTATACAAGCAAAAACATAATAAATAAACTATTGGAGAATATTCCACTTTATGTGAGAAATATACAACCATGCTGTTGAATGAATGAAAAAAAGCTTAAAATAGTCTCTAGTTTACAGCCCTGGGCCTACTAAACCAGCGTAAATCAATAAAATTTATAAAACTGTACTGGTAGAATACTAATTCAGTAAATTAGTATATATGTATTTTTTATGTAATTATAAATGAAGCTATTTTGGAGGCAGAGTGAAAAATGTAACAAAAACCTTAATGCTAGCAGTCTCTTGAAAAATAAGAGTTCAAACGATTTGACAGAAGTATTTATAGCTATATTATTTTTAATAATAATAGAGAAATTATGGTAAGGAATTATTATAAAAAGCATATTGGAGAACCATGCTGTCCTTGAGGACTTAATGTATATTATTTTCAAAAAGTCACTTAACCCATCTGAACCTATTTCTTCATCTGAAAAAATGCCAGTAATACCTAACCCCCATTCTTCTAACGGTTTATGATATGTAGATCTAAAATATGATATGCATTATAATTCTAATATAAAATACAATATAAATTATAATTCTACTATATTTACAAGATACCGTTACCCATTTCCGGTTGCCCTCGAGTCGATTCCAGTTCATAGTGACCCTACAGAACAGTGTAGAACTGCCGCATAGGATTTCCAAGGAGCGGCTGGTGGATTTGAACTGCCAACTTTTTGGTTCGCAGCTGAGCTCTTAACCACTGAGCCACCAGGGCTCCGTTTACGAGATAGCATATCGTTACTAAAATACTGTTGCAGTGGTTAGATGCATGGAAAAGTATTAACAAAATTATTTTCACTTCTGTTATTTTAAGGTTCAAAATAATAAATTTGCAAAGAGCATTGTTTGAAGTTGATTTTAAAATTGATAAAGCTCTAAAGAAGTGATAGAATTTTCTGAACAGTTGGTGGGTATTATTTAAAAATAATTTGCTGCAAAGTAAAATATATAGTGAACTTTGCACTGGAAAATAACCATTAATACATTATTATAAGTAGTTTTAAGAGTTTCAACTACTGTCCACATTGCATAAATTCTTTTGAAAAGGGCTTTATTCAGTGCGACTTCATAAACGTGATTCTTTTTTCAGGTCTCTACAGCAGACCAATGTCGTTCTTCCCCTAAAAGTATGGTTTCCTGCAATAAAAAATCCCTGTATCTTCCGCAAGAAATGTCTGCTGTTTATGTAGAATTCACAGAATATTACTACCCAGATGGAAAGGATTTTCCAAGTAAGAGAATTTCCTGTTTTGTTAACTTTTGTTCATTACTTGCTGAGGTGTTTGTTATTTCTTGCTGACTTTGAGTTTTATAAATGTGAAAAAAGTAGAAGTCCATTGTTCCTTATTCTTACCACTGTGTGTAGTACGTAACTCCAGTTTAGCATTTTTACATATTTTTGTTGTTTTTATGTCCTTTTCCTTCACTAGGTTGTGACATCCTTGATGGCATTTTATCCCTGAGATTTCACTCATTTTTGTACTTATTAGCATCTGTTAAATGAAAGAATAAATGAAAGTTAAGTTATTTGTAAAGTTGTTTTCTTTTTTTTTTTTTTTCCCTTTCATAAAACTCCGTTTATATTTCATCTGAAAATGAATAATTGAAGTTGTTCTTTAGCTGTGGAGAATTTCTTGGGTTTTTTAAATGTCTAAATGTATATTTTTGGACAAGTTTTAGCACTAGTATTAAAAATACTGAATTACATGAATTTTTATTTGTAAGCTAGTTTAGCTTCCAAAAATTAAAATGATTGTACATTTGTATCTTTAAATATTAAAATTCTATGCTGTCATCTCAGTCCACTTAGGAGTTCTTTAAACTAAAATTTGTCCTTGTTTGTGTGGTACCTTTTTCATTATTTCTTCTGAAAATTATAGTTGGAAAAAAGTGTTTAGATTAAAAAGAGGTTATGTTATTGGAGGAAAAACTTTTATATCATCTTTTTAAAAGTGGAACTCCAAAATAATTTGTCCTACTTTGCCCATTTGTTTAATACTGACTTATTAGTATAGATTTTCAGTTTCAACTGATATTTATGCCATAGTTTTTGCTTTTTCTTGCTAAATAAAAAGAAGGGATTCTGGAAATTACTTCAGAGAAACGGAGATGTCCAACTATTTTATCAGTTTAATCTTTGTTAATGCCAAACTTTTGAGATCTAATCCTCACATCTTAATGCTTTTCAGCAATCCTGTGTGTGTTTATTTGTTTCTCTTAGCTACCTTCCTGACAAAAGATGAGAAAACTAATACGGTTAAGACATTTGCTCAGCATGTTATGGGAAGTAAATGGCACAGCTGAAATTCAAGCATGGGTCTCTAAATCTAAATTCATTGTTCTTTTTTAATTATATTACACTGCCTATCCAGAGTATTCAGAACTGTTTGAATAATCTCGTTTCAGGTTTTTTCTTCCCTATATAATTGTTTTGAGTCCCTTGGTGGAACAAATGGTTAAGCATGCAACTACTGGCTGAAAGGCTGGTGGTTTGAACCCACTTGAAGGAGCCTCAGAAGTAAGGCCTGGCAGTCTGCTTCCAAAAGATCACAGCCTTGAAAACCATCTGGAGCACAGTTCTACTCTGCACATATGGGGTCACCATGAGTTGGAATCGACTCAGTGGCAATTAACAACAACAATATAATTGTTTTCCTTAAGTAATACAGTTATGTGTCACTTAACATCCACCATACAGTTTGTGAAATAGGACATTATGTGATTTGGACGTTGTGCGAACACCATATTATGTACAGCCAGTCCCCACGTTACGAACGTCTAACTTACGGACAACTTGCACTTAAGAACAGATGGCCATGAAGCCTATTATATTAAGAATTTCAGTTAAATACATGCAGTGGTTCATAGTAATGAACACACACACTACTTTGTGATGCTCATGACAACATTGTACTGTTTGGAAGTGTTTAAGTGTTACGTCTGCTACGCCCTATTCTCCTGTTGGGATTTCTAAACTGTTATAATTTTATGGGACCACAGACATGTATGCAGTTGGACTCTGCCTGAATGGATGTTTCAGGGCACATGACTGTACATCATTGAACAAGAAATTTTTCTTCAGAGTTAAGACTAGATTCCAGGATTTCTGATTTCTAATCTAAGTTCATTTCTACCAGCTCTGTTAACAATTACTGAAGGAATTATAATCTCATTCTATAATTATATATTTTTTCTGAAAAATTACAAAATTTCTTCCCAGCAATTTAAACCCTACCCCCGAGATAATCTATTCTTTTTTTATTCTTTTATGACTAAAGAAGGGATTTTAAGTCACTTCACTTATATCATTAATTTTTACGTTATATAGCATAACATTTTCTTGTTCAAAAGGCAGTTTTAACTCTCCATTGTCTGGTCAACTCTGTATTATGTACATAACTAGATATTTAACAATACAACTTTTTTACTTCAGAAACTTTGAAAAAAAGAATTACTTGCTACAAACAGTTCTGTTTTCCACCTCTGTTTATGTCTCAGTAAACAAGTATTTATTGAGTTCGTAGGCATCCTATACTGAGTTCTGTGAAAAATACAGAAAATAAATGACGTGATTTCTGCCCTCAAGAAATTTTATAGTCAGGTCAATCAATTATGTATACTTAACTGAAGAGCTTAATTACCTTTCCTGAGGATTAATTATCTTTCTTGAGGAATATAAGGAAGCCAATAGTTCTTAACTTTGTTTTATTGTTGTTATTTGAGTTCTTTTGTTTTTTGTTTTTTGAGTAATAGACCTTGTTGAGAATCTGAGAAAATTTATGAGCTCTCAGGTGCCAGAAAATTCTCACATACACATATACAAAATTAGCCAGCATTTTCTGGAGTTAGCAGAGCTATTAAGGTATTTCTCCACCCTAAGGTTTAGGATCCCTAAAGGAGCCATTTCTTTTATGTTATACATGAAATTAAGTGATTTGTCTAAGGTGGAACACAAAGTTCTTGCTTCCTAGGAAGAGTATGTGTGTGAAAAAAGTAGAACATGATATTATGGGTTCCTGTTTCTGTCAGTTTTAAACCCAGTAGAGTGGCTTGCAAGGCCCTCTGTCATTTGGCCCCATCCTCCAAATGTCTCGTTCATTAACTGCAAGTTGAAGGATCTGAGGAAGATTAATATGGTAGCAGTATATAGGATGATTTGTGGTGGGGAGGTTAGGTGGAAGGCCATGGTACAGATGTGGATGGACAAAGGCTAAAATTATGTTGGATATTGTAGAAGTAGAGTGGTTTATTCTTTTTAACTAATAGAGGTTAAATCATTTTTTCTAAATTTTATTTTGTTCTTGTTGTTGAGAATATATACAGCAAAACATAGACCAGTTCAACAGTTTCTACACGTACAATTTGGTGGCATTGATTACATTCTTTGAGTTGTGCAGCCATTCTCACCCTCCTTTACGTTATTGTTCCTCCCTCATTAACGTGAACTCACTGTTACCTAAATTGTGAGACAACTTTTGCCAGTTCAGCTTTTACAGGTGTAAGCTTACTGACAGCAATTACAGTAATCGCTGTGCAACCCTACCTTAATCAATGCGATTTTTCCATCACCCACCCCCCACCCGGCTCCCCCTCCACCGCTGCCCCACCCCCACCCCCCAGTCCCTCCCACCCCTGGTTATCATTGTTGTTAGGTTCCATGAGTTGGTTTCGACTCACAGAGATCGTGTGTACAACAGAACAAAACACTGCCTGGTCCCATCCTCACAATTGTTGCTATGTTTGAGCCCATTGTTGCAGCCACTGTGTCAGTCCATCTCATCGAGGGTCTTCCTGTTTTTCGATAACCCTCTATCTTAACAAGCATGATGTCCTTCTCTGTGGACTGGTCCCTCTGATAACATGGCCAGAGTACATGAGACAAAGTCTGTCATCCTTGCTTCCAAGGAGCACTCTGGCTGTACTTCCAAGACAGGTTTGTTTGTTCTTCTCATAATCCGTGCTATATTCAGTATTCTTCACCAACACCACGGTTCAAATGCATCAGTTTTTCTTTGGTTTTCTTCATTCATTGTCCGCTTTCTCATGCATATGAGGCACCCCTGGTAACCACTAATAAACTTTGGTTCCTATGTTTTTCTTGTTGTTAGGTGCCGTCGAGTCAGTTGCAACTCATAGCAACCCTACGTACAACAGAACAAAGCACTGCCGGGTCCTGTGCCATCCTCACAATCATTGCAATGTTTGAGCCAGTTGTTGCAGTCAGTCCATCTCATTGAAGGTTGTCCTCTTTTTTGGTGACCCTATACTTTACCAAGCATGATGTCTTTCTCCAGGGATTGGCCCTCCTAATAACACATCCAAAGTACGTTAGACAAAGTCTCGCCATCCTTGCTTCTAAGGAATATTCTGGCTGTACTTCTTCCAAGACAGATTTGTTCCTTCTTCTGGCAGTCCATGGTATAACCAGTGTTCTTCGCCAGCATCATAATTCACATGCTTAGATTTTTCTTGGCTTGTGGATCCAAGTAAAGTGAAATCCTTGACAACTTCAGTCCTTTCTCGGTTTATCACGATGTTGCTTATTGATCTGGTTGTGAGGATTTTTCTTTTCTTTATGTTAAAATGTAATCTATACTGAAGGCTGTGGTCTTTGATCTTCATCAATAAGTGTTTCAATTAGTCTGTATACATTTACCTTTTCTTGTCTTTTTATATAAGTGAAGGTCATACAATATTTGTCCTTTTGTGATTGGTTTATTTCGCTCAGCTCCATCTATACTATAGCATGTATCAAGACTTCATTTCCCCTACTGGCTGAGTAGTATTCCATTGTATGTATGTATCATGTTTTGTTTATTCATTCCTCTGTGGATGGGCATTTAGGTTGTTTCTACCCTTTGGCTATTGTGAACAGTGCTGCAATAACTTTGTGAACGCTGGTGGACAAATCTCTTTTTGAGTCTCTGCTTTCAAGTCATTTGGGTATATTCCTAGGAGTGGAATTGCTGGGTCATATGGTAGTTCTGTTTTTAGTTTTATTTAGTAACTGCCACACCGTTTTCCACAGTGGCTCTACCATTTTGTATTCCCACCAGTAACAGATAAGGATTCCAGTTTACCGATATCCTCGCCAACATTTGTTATTTTGTTTTTTTTAAATCATAGCCATCCTGTTGTTGTTGTTAGGTGCCGTCGAGTTGGTTCCGATTCATAGCGACCCTATAGGACAGAGTAGAACTGCCCATAGCGTTTCCAAGGAGCGGCTGGTGGA